AGGCAGCTACACGCGCGGAACCCGCGCAGAACCACACGCGCGGAACCCGCGCGAAACGCAGACGCACGGAACCCGCGCGTACGATTAATACTTCTAGTATTAGAAGTAGTAGTAGCAGTAGTAGGAGGAGTAGTAGTAGTAGTAGTAGGTAGTAGGTAGTAGGTAGTAGGTAGTAGGTAGTAGGTAGTAGGTAGTAGGTAGTAGGTAGTAGGTAGTAGGTAGTAGGTGGTAGGTAGTAGGTGGTAGGTGGTAGGTAGTAGGTGGTAGGTGGTAGGTGGTAGGTGGTAGGTGGTAGGTGGTAGGTGGTAGGTGGTAGGTGGTAGGTGGTAGGTGGTAGGTAGTAGGTAGTAGGTAGTAGGTAGTAGGTAGTAGGTAGTAGGTAGTAGGTGGTAGGTGGTAGGTGGTAGGTGGTAGGTGGTAGGTGGTAGGTGGTAGGTGGTAGGTGGTAGGTGGTAGGTGGTAGGTGGTAGGTGGTAGGTGGTAGGTGGTAGGTGGTAGGTGGTAGGTGGTAGGTGGTAGGTGGTAGGTGGTAGGTGGTAGGTGGTAGGGGTAGGGGTCGGGGTAGGGGTAGTGGTAGTGGTGGTGGTGGTGGAGGTGGTCGTCGTAGTAGTAGTAGTAGTAGTAGTGCATACCACGACAGGCCTTGCCTGTGATGAGCCGTGACCACCCACTGAAGCCGAAAAAAACAAACGTGCGAGTCTCCGGCACTTGTGGCGAAATGTTCACGATTCCTCTCGTATTTCATGTATTGGCCTATGTTTCTCAATGCTTTTCATCAATGCACCTGCTGTTTGGGGTCTACGGTGGTGTAATTGAGGTGTGACTAGAGCATACGTTTCAAAATTAGTTAAATAATATTTTCTATTTTGTTATTTCGCTTTTAAGATTTAAGGTATTATATTGGATTTTGTTTTGCTTTTGAACGCATTATTAAATAGTATATATATATAACTATTTTATGTTCTAGTATGTTATGTTAAATTGTAGTACACAAACATTTTTTATGTTACATTTCCCCAAACATTGTGTCCACATTGAGGAGTTTTGTATGGTACCGTAAGAGTTAAAGGTCGGTGCTTGATCAGGGTGCTCCAGCTGGTCGGCGGCATTTTACTTGTAAATTCTCGCGCGTAGTGGCTCATGTGAAGTGTCCCTTAAGTGCATTTCGATTCCGCAAGCTCGCACAAAGTGTGTGTCGCGCTCTTGGCCCGCGGCATTTTACCTGCAAATTTCCGCACAAAGCCAAGTGCATTTCGACTGCGCAGCTCGTGGAAAGTGTGTGTCGCGGTTTTGGCGTGGCATTTTATTTTTAAGTTTCCGCATCAAATGGCTCTCGTGCCATGTCAAAGTGCTTTTGACTGCGCAGGCTTGCACAAAGTCTGTGTCGCGCTCTTGGTCCGCGGCATTTTACCTGTAAATTTTCGCACAAAATGGCTCTTGTGACATTTCCAAGTGCATTTCGACCGCACCGGCTCGCACAAAGTCTGTGTCGCGCCCTTGGTCTGCAGCATTTTATCTGTCACTTCTTGCACAAAGTGGCTTTTGTGACGTGTCCAAGTGCGTTTCGACTGCGCAGGCTCGCGCAAAGTCTGTGTCGCGCTCTTGGCCCGCGGCGTTTTACCTGTATTTTTTTTCGCGCAAAGTGGCTTTTGTGCCATCTCCAAGTGCATTTTCTTGCGCCGGCTCGCGCAAAGTCTGTGTTGCGCTGTTGGCCTGCGGCATTCTATATATAAATTCTCGCACACACTGGCTTTTGTGACATTTCCGATTGCATTTCGATTGCGCAAGCTCGCACGAAGTCTGCGTCCCGGTCTTGTTCCGCGCCATTTTGCTTGTAAATTCTTGCGCGAAAAGGCTCTTGTGACATGCCCAATTGCGTCTTCCATAGTCTTGGAGGCCGGGATCGTTGAAGCATCCGATGTCATGCGCCGTGTAACTTCGTCCGTATTGTTTTGTCTTGTCTTGTATTGTCTTGTCTTGTTTTTTCCATAGTCTTGCCTTGTCTTGTTTTCCGTCTATCTTGCACCGGCTTGTCACGAAAGCTAGCGGTAGCTAACTGGAGTTACTCTTGCTCCAGCAAGGGAAACACAGTGTTTTTTTCACTCGAAACCCCGCCCCTCCTCCCCCCCAAGCTCCGGGGGCATTTTGAAGCGGTCTTGGAAGCAGATGGTCAAGGGCCAATGGCTCGAATTCTGCCGGGTCTCTAGGCAATCTGTATTCAGCATGTCAAAAGCTTGTCAAAATCCCATCATCGTTCCAGGTTCATATGACCCTTAGCCTTCGTTCACCCCGCCTTGGGCCTCAAGTTTTGTCACCCGTCTGTCTTGCACCGTCTTGTTTCGTTTGTTTTGCCGTGTGCTGGACGTGGTCTCCAAATGACATTGTTGAGACCTTTCCTAAGAGGCCCTTGCATCAAGATCTTGAAGCTGCTCCGCATTCGTGCTGCATTCCTGCTGCTGCAGGCACGAACCTTCTAACCTCATCTATTTTTGCCTCGTAGCTGATGTTGCTTGTACTTGAACGATTGCGCTGTTTGGGGCCTCTTTTTTCACACTGACGGGTTCTTACGGGAAGAGTAGAGGCCGGTGCTCGGCATTTTACCTGTAAATTTCCGCACAAAGTGGCTCTTGTGACATTTCCAAGTGCATTTCGACTGCGCAGGCCCGCGCAAAGTCTGTGTCGCGGGTTTGGCCCGCCTGCACAAAGCGGCTCGTGTGACATTTCCACATTTCCGGAATGCATTTCGATTGCGCAGGCTCGAACAAAGTCTGTGTCGCGCTCTTGGCCCGCGGCATTCTATCTGTAAATTCTCGCACAAAGTGGCTCTTGTGACATTTCCAATTGCATTTTCGACTGCGCAGGCTCGCACAAAAAGTCTGTGTCGCGCTCTTGGTCCGCGGCATTTTTTTGTATTTGTTTTGCACAAAATTGCGCTTGACATCTCCAATTGCATTTCGATTGCGAAGGTCGCACGAAGTCTGCGTCTCGGTCTTGGCCCGCGGCATTTTACCTGTAAATTTTCGGACAAAGTGGCTCTTGTGAAATTTTCGAGTGCATCTCGACTGCACCGGCTAGTTCAAAGTCTGTGTCGCGCTCTTGGTCTGCGGCTATTGGCATTTTTTTGCGCAAATAAGTGGCTCTTGTGACATCCCCAATTGCATTTCGACTGCGCAGGCTCGTACAAAGTTGGGGTCCCGGTCTTTGGATCGGTCCTCCTCCTCCTCCTCCTCATCATCATCATCATCTTCTTCAACTTCATAATTTTTTTCCTCCTCAACGTCATTATTCTCAACATAATCATCTTCCTCCCCCTTGGCCTCATCATCCTCAACATCATCAACCTCCACCTCATCTTCCGCAACATTTGAGTAGTCTGTGTTGGCTACAGAAGGGTCTTCTGTAAAGAATTGGAAATACAAAAAAATACGAAAAAATCAACTCAAAAATACAAAATCTGAATTGCAGGGTTTAGAAAATACAACAGGTTGGCTTTGCATTTAATTTGCAAGTTGGTTCTTCTTTTTCAAAATGAACATGGGGTTGGCTCTCTGGCTCATTTTTGAATTCGTATATTTTCTGTATTTTGTATTTTTGAAATTTTGGGTTCGTATTTTTTTTAATTTTGTATTTTTGAAATTTTTGGTTCGTATTTTTTTTGTGCTTTGTATTTTTTGAAAAATTGCATTCGTATTTATTTTGTATTTTTTTTGTATTTTGTTTGTACTTTTTGAGGTAAAAACACAAAAAACAACAAAAAATCAAAATAAATACAAAACAAATACACTTTGTATTTTTGTATTTTTTTTGTATTTTTCCATTACTTCCAAAAATGCACTTTGTATTTTTGTATTTTTCCATTCCTTCACAGATTGCGCTTTGTCCTTTTGTATTTTTCGTTCTTTATACATGCCGTCAAAGAACAAAACCGCGAATCCACCAATGTATGTTGTATTTCCCTTTTTTTGCTAATTTTGCCCCCCTCAGTGTTGTATTTTTTTGTAATTTGAGTTTGTTTTTTTTTCTTTTTTTGTATTTTCAATGACTACAGAGGTTACAGGCTGTAGCCAGCACCCGACTACTCAACGCAACATCAACATTATCATCCTTTTCATCATCTTCCTTAACATTATCCTCCTCAACCTCACCAGCTTCATTTTCAACATCACCATCCTCGACTCTCATCCTCCAATTCATCTTCCGCATTATCATCCTCATACTCGTCCTCCTCAACATCACCATCCTCAACACCACCATCTCAACCTCATCATCCTCAACATCACCCTCCTGCACCTCATCATCCTCAACATCATCATCCTCAACATCATCGTCCGCAACACTATCATCCTCCTCCTCTACCTCCTCTACCTCCTCTACCTCATCATCATCATCATCATCATCATCAGCATTATCATACATTATCCTCCCACTCCCCCACACTGTTTGGGGTCTCTTCCCGGGAGATTTTTTATTATTATCTTTGATTCTTTTATATGCTGTATTTGTTCGTTCCGTCCATAGTTGACTAGTTCTTTTTGGCGAAATTGGTTTGACTGTTCACATCCACAACTGTGGTGGCTGCTACGGGACAAAACCAAATTTATGCAGCAAAGTGATGGAACATATGGTGTGACAAGGAACGTGGAATAATCATGCGCCAAACAAATCCAAAGGTTGCCTTCCCCTCTGGTGACCAAACATGTTGCAAAATTGCATGTGAAAACCAACAGATGATATGTTGATCTTTGTCAACAAGACATCGTTGCCAACGGGGTAGTTTCAAAGCTATATCTTGCTGAAACATGTTCATTTTTCATCGTTGCGTGTGGGAAACTGAATCCTTTTTTTTTCAAAGGCGCGATATTGTTTACGCCACCCTGGGGATCGCCCAGCCATGCAATCATACTTTGATTTGTACATATTTTTACAACATTCGTCATATTCACTATATACTCACAAGGTTTTGATTGGACAAGGGTCGCTGCTTGCCGTGTGCATCCGAGGTGAAGTGGGGCAAAGCTGGACCACGGCTGCAAATTGGCACTATGTCACCAGGAGTGCCATGAAATAATGGCTGACAACATGTCTTAGTGAACCCCGATTCATTGTTTGGTCAGGACTTTCAAAGGTGGGAAAAAATGCGGCTACAAAGTGAAGGCCTGATTTTGATTGATTTTGCATGTGTGACCTTGATGGGTTTCACTTTCTGTTCAGCTACGCAGGGCATGCTTGATGAAACAGACCCGAGCAGTGCAAAAAGTGTTGGCCCCATTTTTGCGTGCAGGAGTTGCAGCTGACAACTGGAGAACGCGGTTGTGCTGCATCGCATGTGATGGTTTGGCAAAGATGTTGCGCGTGGAGAAAACCAGTTTTGGTTTTAGAAGTTGGTCCCTCAGGTTCCTTTGATATTTTTCAACGTGAGGTATCCTGGAGTATTCCTTTCATCAATCCTAATAGTTCTTTGACCTGGACCATTTCGATTTTGAATTTATTGGTTCACCGAGGATGATGCACGGCCAACAGGAACTTTCGCAAAGACCCTGAGTACCTTGACATTTTTACGGGGGGTTAAGGTGGACGGACAAGGCAGTCTGGAAAGCAGAGAAAGGCTAGTCCTAGCCCATCGTGTAGCAATCGTTTGACTGGTCGAAAAACTGTACATCAAGGCAAAGCTCTCAAGGAAGTCAGGCGCAGTTCCCCTCACGTCCTTTGGCTGGGCTATGTGCAAGCCGCACCATGGCGTCGCAACTTGTCCTGCGAATATGCCATTTAGCCCACAAGCATTGCCACAATGGCAGGCATCCAGCAGGCTAATTCCTTCCTTGTCAGCTTGAGCTGCGGTTGTTGTTCTTTTATGTTCTGATGTGCGTCGATGATCTTTCTTTGCGAAGGAAAGGTTGGTCCAACTGTGCGTGAAGCTGAATATCTTTGGACCACTGTCGCGTACATTCT